GCTTGAAAAATCAATATACCAATTTGGCATATTTTGCCTTGACTATTTCAGTTCCACAGCCAGAGCTTTAAACTACTGCATTCTACACCATTATGTATTCAGCTATTTCCCTTTTTCTGTAGAAGGCTAAGGAAAAGCTTAAGGTGAGACTAGAAGGATAAAAGACATCAAGAAAAAAATATGGTATGTATTTATAGATATATATTTATAGATAGATATATAAATACATATGGATACACATAGAAGTTGTGTGCCTTGAAAATATTTATCATAATGGTTAAGATTAATATAGTGCTAACTGTGCACAGGCACTGTACCAGTTGCTTTTCATGTGATAAGTCATTTAATTGTCATAACATCCCCTAAAGGTAGGTACTATCATTACCTGCACTTTAGAGGAAACTAAAGCATTCCATCTGAAGATAATTACCTTTGGAAAAATTAGGTAATTGTGTGATTACTGTGGGGTATGTGAGGGTTAAAGATAATATTCTAAGAAGAAATAAGCATCCACAATTGCCTATGAAGAAGCAAAACAGAATGTTCTTGTTTATGTCAAAATAAARCAAGCATCGATAAGAACTAGAGTTGGGGATAACATAGAGAAAACACAGAAACTAAAGAAATATAAYCCAAGGACAAAGGAATCACAGAGAGTAAAATGGATCCCTATATCAACTACTCAAATGAGCAGGCCTTGACGCACAAAATAAACCAAAGCAAGACTAAGGCAAATTAATTGATAGGCAAGTAAGACTGTGAATTCCCATATACTTTTATGTATTTCTCTTTTRAAACTATCAGTCTATCTTGTCTCATAGGTGGCATATACATTCTATAATATCCACAACCAAATATTAAATTCCCTTATAGAAAGATATATCTGGCTTGTCTTTTATGGTAGAGAGCACCTGATATATTTATTTTTAGCAAGGAGTTGCTTAACAAATAAGCATTTATTAAATAAAAATGATAACCAGTAACTCAAATCATAGAACTACATTTGAAAGTCAAGGTTATTGAAAGTTTCATCATTAAGACTTAAATATGTGAATTATTAAGGCAAGAATGTGGTACAGTGCAAAAGCAGAAAGACAAACTCGGGTCATCTGATTCCAAAGGGATGGAGGAAAGTAGTAAACTTAAAACAAAMAAGAAAAGAAAATCTAAGATTCTTGAGTTCTATGTGAATTAAACCCTCCAAAGATTTCAACTCACACATCTGTTTGGTATAATACAATACTAAACTTTAAATATKGTCAAATTAGAAAAAAAGTATGAAAAACTGAAAGCCTCATTTCATAATGTGGGGAAAAGTTGGTCTGSATCATAAGATAAAATTAGTCAAACTTTTGTTTCTTGACTTAGAGATTGATAATATGACTATTTGTTGCCCTCTAGTGGATTATTTTAAAATTATTTTCCCTTTGAGGTTGGAAAAAAATGAAACTGAAAATCAACTTTCTAATTATAGACATAAGAAACAGGATTATTTTTCTACTCAAAAAAGAAAAGAAATATTTTGTGTTACCTTTTAAAAAATCATATTCTATTTCCACTACTATATCCCCCCAAATCCCAAAAAGAATAGAACCCCTGAACCTGTTAAATAAATTAAATGGTCTTAATTCAACAAAAAAAAAAAAAAGAAAGAAAGAAAGAAAAAAGAGAAAGAAAAAAGGTTACCACTAATTTAATTAAAAGTATTTGGTTCCTATTATTTGCTATCAGTTTAAGAACTTGGGCTCTCTTATCCTTTTATTTTAATTATGTTTCACAACAAAATGAAGTTTCTCAGTAGAAAGCTTGGAAAGGACTATATAACATATATGCTTGATAAATGAAGAAAAAATTAAATAAATTCCTGTTAGAATTTATTCTTGAAAACTRCTTGCAATAGTTAAATAATTTAACTACAATGCTCTAATACAAATAAATAAAAAATAAGTTTATTCATGTTGAGCTTTTATAAGTTTTAGAATAAAGAAGGCTTTTTAAAAATATAATTTCTCATTCAGAGAAAGATTGCACGTATCACACAAATTTTTTTGGATTTCTGACATATATAGGATATCTATCTCTATATATGAAATGTAGATATTTCATATATAGAGATAGATATTCCCTAATATTAGCATTTTCCTATATTTGCTTATTTACTTTCTTTCCTCATRCACATTTTTTATTTGTTTAAAAGTTTCAGATATTATATCCCTTTACTTCATTTTGTGTTTAAGACCTCGTTCACACATAGCCCCAGCATAAGTTTCTAAACAAGGAAATTAGCGTTGAAAAATACTATTATTCAACCTATGCACCCTGTTTAGATCTCAACAGTTGTACTTAGTTTAATTTTATACTCTTAAAAAGCTAAATGAGGGGCTGGGATTGTGGCTCAGCAGTGGAGTGCTCGCCTAGCATGGGTGGGACCCAGGTTTGATCCTCAGCACCATATAAAGATGAAGGCATTGTGTTGTGTCCATCTACACATAAAAAATAAATATTAAAAAAAAACTAAATGATTATGTGGTGGAGTCAGTTGCATGTCTCCTTAGTCTCCTTTCAGCTGGAACCATTCCTCAGTCTTCTTTTGTGTTTCATAACATTGACCTTTTTTGAAGGGTGCAGGCGAGTTACTCTGTAGAATGCCCTTCAGTTTGGTTTTGTCTAATGTTTCTTCATAGTTAGATTCACTTTAAACAGTAATATCAAAGAAATGACACTAAGTTCTTCTCAATGCATTATCTAAGGGGGCAGATTCTGTGAATTGGTTTCATTATTGGCAGTGTGTGTGTGTGTGTGTGTGTGTGTGTGTGTGTGTGTACCCGGAGATTTTCCTTACTTTTTTACAGTTTCACAGCACTCCATAGTGTGGTCTACCATAATTTATTCAGCCACTATTTTTAAAACTGTCATGTAGATTATTTTTAACATTTTCAGTGACAAATGATACAACTAATAATCTTTTGCAGACGTATTTTCACATTACAGAGGTATAAGTGTATGTTCAGAGTAATTGCCTGGTGTAGGATTGCTGGATCAAAGGAAATCTTGCATTAATTCTCCAAAGGAGCAGAACCAAATATATATATATATATATATATATATATATATATATATATATATATATATATAGATAGATAGATTTATTAGATTGGTTTACATGAGAAGAGATTGGGCTCACAAAAGGCATCTGCAGGCTGCATAGCCAAGGAAACCAGTAGTTTCTCAGTCCAAGAAACTGGAAGCCTCAGAATAAGAGGGACCAATGATGCAGCCCCAGTCCTAGAGTGAAGACCTGGAAGCTCCCTGCAGAGGTGCTGGTACAAATCTGCATTCAAGGGCTAAAGAATATAAGGGGAAAAGGTTCATTTGTACCTTGTTGGTGGGACTGCCAACTAGAATAATCACTCTGGCAAGCAGTATAGAGATTCCTCAAAAAAGTAGGGATGGAACTACCATAAGACCCAGCTGTCCCACTCTTGTGTATTTTCTAAAAAAATCTAAAATCAACATACTACAGCATGAAACCATCTCAATGTTTATAGCAGTACAATTCACAATAGCTAAATTATGGAATCAACCCAGATGCCCATCAATAGATAAATGGATTAAGAAATTTTGGTATATATAGACAATTGAGTTCTACTCAGCCATGAAAAAGAATGAAATTATGGCTTTTGCTGGTAAATGGATGGAAATGAAGAATATCATGCTAAGTGAAATAAGTTAAACTCAGAAAATCAAACATCAAATGTTTCCTCTCATGAAGAAGCTAGAGTTAAAAAAAAGGAAAGGGTGAGGAAATGATAGGTTAACATAAAGAATCAATGAAATATAAATTAATAGAGAAGCAAAAGGAAATCTAGCAGAGTAGAAGGAGAATGGGAGAGGGGAGGGACAACGAGAAAGAAAAGGGGAATCATGAACTGAAATCGATTTCCATGCATGTTTGAGTTTGTCGGGATGAACACAACTACTATGTATAACTATTAAGTTCTAATAAAAAATATATACATGGAGTCCACTGTCCACAGGAGATGACGGCAGCAAAACAAGCACTTGCTCAAAAAGAGTGGGTCATGGGCATGGGACATTTTTTGTTCTGTCTAGACCCCCAGCCTATTAGATAGTGTCATACACATTCAGGGTGAGTCTTTCTCCCTTATTCGGCCTACCTACATGCCAATCATATCTGGAAACACCTCAAAGACACACCCCCAAAGTGTGCTTTATCTAGGCAGCTCTCAATTCAGACAAGTTGACAAGCAATATTAACCATTATAATGCATATGTAATTATAATAGTCATTAGCACGTTTCCCTCCATAATGGTTGTGCCAATCTGCATTCCAAGTAGCATTGTACAAGGGTACTGATTTCCCCACAGCCTTGCCAGTAGAAGGTATTGCTGAACTTTTTTAATTTTTGCCAATCTCAATAGTAAAAATGGCATTTTGGTGTAACTATAATTGGCATTAATCTTATGAATACAGATAAACATATTAGTTATGTCTGAGGCCTTTTCTTCACTTTTTTGGTAAAGCTTTTGTGTCTTTTGACTATTTATTTTTAAAATGTCAGTTCAATGGGGCTGTCRGTCTCTAAAATAAATTTTAAACATGTATTTAAAGAGTCAGACCCTGTTTTCGGCAATGTGGATACACTATAAAAAATCATTTGCAAAAAGTTAATTCAACATAATTGTACTTGAAAATGRAAGAACGGACAAGGTTTAGAATTTTGGGTAATGATTATTCTGCAACATTTGTRTAATTTCCAAAAAAACCCAAAATACTATCATTCCATTCATACTTACTTAAACATATTTGAAGTATATATCCAATTATAAGTTAACACAGAAATGCTCAAAAGAATACCAAGGAGCTTAGAAATTGCTTTAGGTAACATATATTAGAARGATAGCAGGATGCAAGAAAAAAGTTTCCAAATAGTGTTTAAAAAAATAACATAAGTTTTTTTTCTTATTTTCTCATACAGTTATATATATTCAGGATGATCCACCTAACAGATGGTTCTGGACAAACAGAAATTTTCTCTCAATGTGTAACTCACTGCAGTTTTCCACAATGGTGGCATCAAGCCTTTTATAACTTCTTCACTTTCAGCTGCCTCTTCATTATCCCTCTTCTCATCATGTTGATCTGCAATGCAAAAATCATCTTCACCCTGACACGGGTCCTTCATCATGGTCCCCACAGTATGTATTATTTGGATTTAGTGCTAATTATGTGCAAACAGTTTTTAAATAACAAAACTTAAGCAGAATGACCCTTACCCTATGTGCCAGATACTGTTCTATAAAGTTTATATATATTAGCTCATTTATTATTTACAATCACCCCATGAGGTAATACTTTTATTATGCTCCTAATTTACACGAGATAATATTTTCTGATGTTCTAAATTTACATCGAGAAATTAAAGAAAAATAATTACTCCATTAAAACTTAGAATAAGCATTAAAAAATTGTTACTGCTGGGCTGTGAAATAATACATCAACACCCAATATCTAGAATACAGCAAACAACCTATTAAATGCTAGCCAATAAATTTGTTGTTTTAGTCAGTTTTTTCACCACTATGAACAAAATACCTGACAAGAACAATTTTAGAGAAGGAAAAGTTTATTTGGAGGCTCATGGTTTCAGAGGTCTCAGTCAATAGATAGCAGGCTCCATTCCCTGGAACTTGAGGTGAGGCAGAACATTATGGAAGTGGGGATGGGAACAGGAAAGATAGTAGAGTGAATCGGACCTAACTTTCCTATGTTCATATATGAATACACAACCAGTGTAATTCTGCATCATGTACAACCACAAGAATGGGAAGTTACACTCCATGTATGTATAATGTCAAAATACATTCTACTGTCATGTATATCTAAAAAGAASAAATTACAAAAAAATTTAAATCAATAAAAAAAGGAACATCATGGTGGAAGCGTGTGATGGAGGGAAGCAGCTCACACCAGGAAGCAGAGTGAGAGAGAGAGACCCCCAAAAGGACAAAATATAAACTCCAAGGGCATACCCCCATCAAACTACCTCCTCCAGTTACATCCTACCTGCCTATAATCACAATTTAGTCAATCTCTATCAGGGGATTAATGCATTGATTAGGTTAAGGCTTTCATAATCCAAACATTTCACCTATTTTCTTGCTTTATATAGCATCATAAGCTTTTGGGAGATACCTCACATCTAAACCATAACATTTGTTAAACTGATTCAAATTCCCTTAATATCCACAAACAGAAATTATGACATGTATGTGTATGTGATTGTATGCATATATGTATGTCTTCACAAGTCAAACAATGTTAAATATGTAATTATGTCATCCAAAATATCATAGATGTAGCTACACATTTTTTCCTTTTTTTTCTTCAGTAATCTGGTGCACTCCCAGAACTAAAATTTATGAAATAAGCATGATATTTTGGCATGACATCTCAAAGACATGCTACCAATRGCACAGTATATAAGTCATATCTGGTACAAATAAATAGGGAAATCATCTTAATTATTAAGGAATGATCAGTTTGGGTAGATATTATCAGAAGGAAATAATTATAGTGATGCTTGTAAGTTTCCACTTGCCATCCCAAAATGCTATTTAATATTTCAAAAACAAAAAGAATAGTGCAAAAACAATTTGCTTCTCAAATCTTATCCAAGAGAGATTCAGTTATGTAAGGATTGTCTAAGAAGGGGACATGTAGAATAAGAAGATGAATCAAAAATAGGGGTTAATCAGAAGAAATATGAGTAGTACAGAGATAGAAGAAAAAGACAGGAGTAATAGTTACATATTTACTAACACTTTTAGCCATTTAYTTTTTTATTTACTTAACTAAAATGCACTGTCTGATACTGCTGGAAACCATACTAGGTGGCCTAGTATCTATCCTGTTTTCATAGAGTCTATAGTCTAACATAAAAGTTGGAGAACAAACAGTAAACCAATAATCAAGTATGATGATATTTCTAAAGAAGAAGTACAGCATGCTGTATCTGTATTTTATCACATTCAGCCATTGTGCTAAGCCAAGAAGCATTTTTTTAAAAAATGTGTTCATTCATGATTGCTTTATTAATATACATAATATTTACAGATATCAATGATTGAATGAAATAATGTGTGAAAAGAGGAAGGCCCATAGCAAGGGATACATTAAATGGTAATTAGTTTTGTCTGCTCAAAAAAATCATGWCCAGTCTATATTCAATAAAGTACTTATTCTAACATTTCTAGTCAAAAATTAACTTTATAACATAAATATAAATGTTTTCTTCCATATTTCTACTCTTGGGTGATCAGTGAAAAAGAAACTGTAAACTATTTYTAAATAGCATTGTATGTTTCCCTAAAAATATATAATATGTGAAAAGTATTTCTTATTTTAAAATAGCACTTTTGGATTACAAAATATAAGAATAGATTTTGAACATTTAGAACTGCAGCTTATAACTTTAAAAACTAAGTCTTTAAATTCTAAAAGGGAGCCAATTAAAGTCAGCAATTCCATTGATTTCAATAACTTTCTTMGCAAGAATAACCTATGAACTCTAAAAGTTATGTTAAAAGTGGAATTATTTCAGGTATCATAGAAAGAAACATGGCTGAAGTAGATAATTTGRAGCAGCACACTTTCATCCATACATCATTCTTACTATCCTTAGTGGCAGGGACACCCAGTGAATCAGAATTCAACTCAGCTTAGCCTCTGTTTTCTTAAATTTATATTTCAATTGTTTGGGTACCTCAAATTTTAAATACAGATTAGTCTGTTATAAACTTAAAGAACACATGCCTCTTCAATATTTACTATTCATTATGTGATACAGTGGAAAACAATAAAAGTATGCTTTTTAAATAAATTGTCCTTATTTAAAATGCTAGAAATTTTCTCCTATAATATTTATTAGGTTGAATTAGTGAGTTTCTCTTTTGGACTGTTTTGGTTGTGTGAGAAAACTATCTTTAAACACCCACTCTTTTTCCCTAATAGAACTACAATTGAATCAATCCAAGAACAATATACCAAGAGCACGGCTGAAGACCTTGAAGATGACAGTTGCATTTGCCACTTCATTTATTGTCTGCTGGACTCCCTACTATGTCCTAGGAATTTGGTATTGGTTTGATCCTGAAATGTTAAACAGGGTCTCAGACCCAGTAAATCATTTCTTCTTTCTCTTTGCTTTTTTGAACCCATGCTTTGATCCACTTATATATGGGTATTTCTCTCTGTAATTGACAGATTACACATGAAGTAATATAAAGAAAAKCAAGGTAATTAATTTATCCACTTGGGAACGACAAGAACAAAGTTGCAACATATTACATATAAAAAAAGCAGGATTTAAGTTTCAGTTATCATTCTTCTTCTTTTTAGAAATCATATTGTCAAAGTCTCACTTATTAAAAAAAAAAATAACCACGAAATGTACTGAAAATTTTCTTCTAATCATGAACTTCTAAATTAGCATCTACTTTTTCTGTCATTTCTTTTCATTTTCTCTTTGTATAATAAAACAAAGAGCAATATTATTATATTACTAAATATTATATTTAAAATAACACCTAAGGCAAAAAGATGACAAAAATTAAGACTAAGAAACCACAACACAGTCCTGATCTCAGCATGCTTTTTGAGTTTTTCTCCAAAAGTGATTGAGTGGCAATCACAACTATTTAAATACAAGTAAGAAAAGATATATATGGATTATGTTATATGTATAATATAGCCTCTGTTTTAATAATGTAAGAAATTTTTGTTTGTCACCTGATCTTACTAAATTCATACTCCATAAATCATTGAGAAAGTTAAAAAATCAAGTAAATGCATAAGCAAAAAGATGTCTGAGAAATAAAAGAAACTCTGGAGAGAAAACTGTACAATTTCAGTCAGTACAGACCAAAGACTGCAAACAGCATTTGAGGAAGAAAGGAAAAGAAAAACTCTTTGTAAATGTGAAACTAACACCTACTGATATAGTTTCCAAATTTCCAAATTTGTCCATATAATATGTCTTTTATTTGATTCAAACGTATGTTTAYCCCTTCCATGAAAAATGCTAGGATGTGAAAATAATGGAAGTATAATGTACATTTAATGAGAAAAATATTATATAGGACTTAAAATAAATTCAACCATTCTTTTGTATTTTTAAATGAATAAGATACAATTATTCATATGAATTATGTAATGCCACACAAAGGATGGAAATAGGAAGTAATTTCCAAATATTCCAGTGTTTGAAAAATTGTGGAGAGCAACCTGCTGAATAATGTAAGTCCTTACTTTTCTTATTTTTCTCCTCTCATGCTTTCAGTTTTGTAGTTTTATTGTGGGATTCTTGTTTTCACATCCCACTTTATTTTCCAAATATGTCTCTTTTGAGCTCCTTCTTTGTATTCTTTCATTTGTATCTTCTTTGTTACTCAATTCATAACTTTAATTAACCAATCCATAACTCAACTCTATAGTTTGGGCATGGCTCAAAATCTACAGTGTGCCAAAATGCTCAAAGTTTGCATATAGACTTAAATCAAGATTTTACAATTCTCTTATATATTATAGGGAAGTAGATAAGTTACAATAAAAGCAATCTCCTCAAGGGCTCTTTATACTCATTCCTAAACTGATAATAAATCTTTCTTCTGGATATAAAGGAAAAATAAAATACCTGCACAAGCTGCAATTTAAGGGCTTCAATGCATATGTGTTTAATGAATATATCTTAGTTCAGTTCTTATGTATTAAAAAAACTTATTTAGGTACTCTCTCAGGCATTTAAAAATACCTTTAATAAAGGGCTAATCAAAATCTGGAATCAGGGGTCTTTAATCTATAGCCCATGAACAGAATTATATTTCCTCAAAATTGTTTTTGTGTTTCCCTATTCATATTATTTTATGCAATTTAAAAACGTTATTTGGGGCTGTCCCCAGTTGGAACTGGCTAAAAAAGAATGGCAGCAAGAAACACCTGGGAGGCCACAGGAATCAATTTTTGACCACACAGAGATGTCTTATTATCCTGATAAGGGGTTTATAGGCTATATCAGACTGTCAATAAAAGGCACAAAAAAGTTGAGAATGTCTGCTTGCCTTTGTATATTTATAAGGAAGTTTATTATAATAAAAATTAATTTAAATGTATTTGTTTGTTTTGATATATGCAGGATAATGGGTTATACGGAAACTATATTGTTCCAGTATGTTTAATCATTCTTTTTAAACTGAGAAACTCTCTTAAGGTTCAATATGTTATGAGAAACTTTACAGATATAATTATTCTAAATCAGTATTGTAGCCCATAAATTATAATATGAATATAAACTAAAATTCATAGCCCAAAAATTAAATGTGACTTTTCAACAAAAGGTTTATAACTCACTGGAGTATTTCACATCTGTTGTTACTTTAATTTATTCTATTTTCCAACATATGAAGATGAAGGTTCTTTGTAAAAGAGGAAATAGTCTGAAGAGTGAATCTAATATAAGGTGAATCCAATATAAATCAGGTATTCTAGACTGATTTCTTTATTTAACTTATAAACTAGTTAAAATTTGGATTTCTTACAGCAACTCAGTTTAGTAGCTAAGTGACATAAACCAATAGCATTGAATTGAACAATAAATACATTAATTCAATTTTAAACTATTAAAGTAGTCAAAAAAATATTGTATTGTGGTGGGGAGATAGTATCACAATTATCTCCCAGGGAATATAAATCAGCATAAATAAGTTAAAAATTATCTTCGTGACTTCATCTCAGAACTCACATGGTAGTTCTGAATCAGAAATAACAGTTAAAATATTTTTAGAATTTCAGAATCAATGTCTAAGGCTTCACTAATTACTCTAAAGTATTTCCATATTAATAAAAGAATGTAGTTTGATATAATCTTGCTTATAATTTTTATGATATTAAAAATMAGGTTGAAAATGATTAGTTTAATTTTAAAAGTTCCATAGCATGTAAATACATGCATAAAAACAATAGATAAGCACATGCAAAATATATAGTTATGTGAGTGACTTTAAAATTATTTCTCCCTTTTAAATTTCTGTAATTAAAAATTCTCAAATATATATATTGATTTTATTATGAGAAAAAAACAATAAATGCTAAATGTGTGTGTGCTTGTATGACTTTTAGTTTATGCATCTGGCTACCCGTCTCTCTCCCTTTTTAAAGACATAATTTCTTTTGATATCCCCTATGTTCCCAACGCCATCAATCTCCTCCTTGCTAACAAATTGTTCCCACTGGCATATAAAAATGATTTATTACTTAAATCTTTAAAAATATCCTCAGCTATATACTTAACTTCAGCTTCATCTTCCACTATCCATTTCTCTATTCCTTKTCATAAAAAAGAAATAAAAATTTTTTCAAGAGTTGTTCACACAACTTCTTCTCTTCTCATTTGATCCTCAACACATATTAACTTGGATGCTGATCTTACTACTCATATTCTTCTTAAGGTCACCTAAACAAATAGAGGTTTATTTCTTTTTGATTTACTATAATGTTTATTAAGATTCAAATGATCATCCATCCTGTCTGTAAAGAATGCCAGTGGAGGAAGATTGGGCCATCTCTGGGTGAAAATTAGAGGGAGGAGAGGTACTGGCTTGAGAGAGATCACATGACAAAGATGCGGATCAGATTACCAAGCACCAGAGAACTACAAGAAAGCTAAATTGATGTCTTTCTTTGCACAGGATGCAATAACAAAATGTCACAAGAAATTTATTTTTCACATATTTAAACACTAAAAAATAAAAAAAATCAGACTGCTGGCATGGCTGTGTTCTGGGGAAGGCCCTTTTCCTGGCTTGTAGAAACTTCCTTCTTGCTACATCCTAAAATGACTTAATTTAAACCTCATTACCTTCCAAAGGACCCATCTCCTAAAACCATTGCATTGCAATTTCTGGAACCATTTTGGGGGTTCAACATATGCATTGGATGTGGRCACAAACTCTTGAATCCATAGCAATGTCTAAAGTCCACACCTCCCCCTTCAAGTGAGTAAATCACATTGCCTTCACTAAGAAGCCTTATGCTATTTTGCTGATCATTAGCCAGTGATAACCTTCCATTTTCAAATATTTGCACATCTTMCATTGATTATTCACAGAAATGGTGATTGTCCTAAAATAGCGCTATATGTAAATCATCCTTTTCATCAGCCTAGTACATTTTTTATACCCCTGAAAGGGGAAGGGTGAGGTATGTATTTCTCAACTGTAAAGGGTGGTGGTGCTTTGGTAGAGAAAGCCTAACATGGACACTTGAGTGTCACTGGACAGTAATGAAATCCTACACCAATTCACAACCTACTTAAAACACTCTTCTTACCTCTGTGAAACTATCCTCTCCTAGTTTTCCTCCTACCTCACTGGCAGTGACCTAGTGTTGTWCAAGGTTCAGGAATGAGCTAACCTAAATATAGGACTTTAGGCTTTCTTGAATTTCTGCTGGTTGGTGGTTAAATCAGTTTTTAATTTGCCTATTGTTGACCAAATTCTATATGTAATCAAAAGTTCTCCATTTATGCAGCTTCTTACCTTTCTTTTGAAATAGCTGAGGTCTGTCTTCACTCCATATACCATGGAGCACTCTAATTGTCTTTATATTAAAGAAAGGGGCAGTCTATTATATATGTATGTAAACCTTGATATTGAGCATTAACTCMTATTGCAACAACTTAAACACATTATCAACCAGATTGTATCCTATATCACTTTTTCTCTCAGATTTTATGTCTTAAATATCCACATATCAGAATTCTATACAAACTTGTTCTCCACTCCCTATCCACCTTCTTCTGCATGTGTGTGTATATGTGTGTGTACACACACATAGATACATGTAAACTTGGATATAAACTATAAACTGGGATATATACACATATGTTTACAAGTGTGTGTGTGTGTGTGTGTCTGTGTATGTGTGTGTGTATCCCAGTTTTCTCTGCTTGGAAAACCTACCACAAACATTTTCTGTAGCACAAATGACTAATGCTTGCCCACAGTTAGTCAATTAAGATATGAAATGTAACCATTGCAATGTTAATTGTATGGTTCTCTGTCCATAGTATCACATAATACGGTTTTCACAAATATGAAGGCAGCACTCATCATTAAGATGAGGCTATAGATCAGTGCTTCCCTGACTTCAAGGTTGGCCTCCATTACCAGCCTTGCATGGCCAGTTCCAGTAGAGACTGCCAAAGTAAGGGAGATGTGAATTCACTGAAAACACTATCATCATAGCTGAGAGCTAGGCTAGCCTAGACCAGCTTGTCATGCCGAGAGTGCCTTTGTGCATTGTACAGATAGGTGAGGAGATGGAGGAAGAGGAGTGTTCTAAAATAAAGATAAAGGTTATGAGAC